AACATGAACATTGGTAAAGATTAGTGACTAGAAAACAAACATGAACATTGGTAAAGATTAGTGACTAGAAAACAAACATGAACATTGGTAAAGATTAGTGACTAGAAAACAAACATGAACAATGGTAAAGATCAGTGACTAGAAAACAAGCATGAACAAATGGTAAAGATCAGTGACTAGAAAACAAACACGAACATTGGTAAAGATTAGTGACTAGAAAACAAACATGAACAATGGTAAAGATCACTGACTAGAAAACAAACATGAACAATGATAAAGATCACTGACTAGAAAACAAGATGAACAATGGTAAAGATCAGTGACTAGAAAACACTTACTGGTCTTTCACTCTTGTATACCACCCAGATGCTGTCCTTTAGTCACACTATACACCCTGTTACTGTCTTTAGCTTGTAATATACTACACAGATACTGTCCTTTACTCAAACTACACCATGCTGGTACCATCCTTGTACTGTCCTTCACTCACACTATACTGTCTTTGTACTGTTCTTCACCTACTATACCATCCTCGTCACGTCCTTCACCCATGCTATACCATCCTCATACTGTCCTTCACCCATACTATACCATTCTTGTACTGTCCTTCACCCACACTATACCATCATTGTACTGTCCTTCACCCACACTATACCATCCTTTACTGTCCTTCACCCACACTATACCATCCTTTACTGTCCTTCACCCACACTATACCATTCTTGTACTGTCCTTCACCCACGCTATACCATTCTTGTACTGTCCTTCACCCACGCTATACAATCCTTGTACTGTCCTTCACCCACGCTATACAATCCTTGTACTGTCCTTCACCCACGCTATACAATCCTTGTACTGTCCTTCACCCACACTATACCATCATTGTACTGTCCTTCACTAAAGTACCCAAGTAAATGTAAATATATATCACATGACAGCATATAAAACAAATACTGCATTATGTGTTCTTTATACTGATACACACTTCACATTAAAATACAAGCCATATTATGTGCTACACATAGTAATACACACTTTACATAGAAAATACATGCCATATTATGTGTTACATATACTGATACACACTTCACATTAAAATACAAGCCATATTATGTGTTCATTATACTGATACACACTTCACATAAAAAATACATGCCATATTATGTGTTACACATAGTAATACACACTTTACGTAGAAAATACATGCCATATTTTGTGTTACATATACTGATACACACTTCACATAAAAATACAAGCCATATTATGTGTTACATATACTGATACACGTGTACCAGTATATGTAACACATAATATGGCTTGTATTTTCTATGTGAAGTATGTATCAGTATATGTAACACATAATATGGCTTGTATTTTCTATGTGAAGTCACATAATATGGCTTGTATTTTCTATGTGAAGTTTACACATAGTGAGAATATCAACTAATTTAATGTACTTGACTTATAAGCCTAGCAGTTAATTCACTGGTAAATTCCAGTAATCAACTGGCTCTACTTGTAACACAAGACAACTAACCTGCACTGGTTGAGTATAAGGAAGAGTAACACTATGATGAGTTGAGTTTAATAGAGGTATGCCAACACCAGGAGATGCTGCTCGATTCTCTGGTCCACTCTGTTCAGAAGCAGCCATGTTACTTTTGACAATATTCCAGAAACTACCTAAGAGGACTTTATGCTTCAAAGATGTGGATAATAAAATATGATTTAAAATCATTAAATATATATATATATATATATATATATACACACAATTTCAACTAAGTTTAACTTATATATAGAAAGTTATCACAAAAATTTTAAACAATATTTGTGACTGGATCAAACTGGACTGAACTAACCCAAAGAGTTCTTACACAGTAATAGATACAATATTACTGAATCAATCTACACAGAATGAAATTTCATGTCAATGTTAAAATTACAAATAGCTAATATTGATTTCTTGCATTACAAAACTCAATTTCCTGACATGATAACAAAATAACTCCAGTATCATATGTACATCTTGATACTTAGTATGCCAACAATGCAACTCCAGTATCCAACATATATCTTGATGCTTAAAATGCTAACAAAATACACCTGTATGCAATAAAGAATATTGATATTTAACCCAATACCAGACACGTACACCATCTGTCTACACAGATGAAGATCACACATAACCGTAACTGTTGTACACGTACACTATCTGTCTACACAGATGAAGATCACACATAACCTATGACTGTTGTACATGTACACTATCTGTCTACACAGATGAAGATCACACATAACCATGACTGTTGTACACGTACACTATCTGTCTACACAGATGAAGATCACACATAACCGTAACTGTTGTACATGTACAATATCTGTCTACACAGATGAAGATCACACATAACCGTAACTGTTGTACATGTACACTATCTGTCTACACAGATGAAGATCACACATAACCATGACTGTTGTACACAACCTATTAATCCTCCTTTTTACCTTAGTTAAAAAATTATAAGTTTTGAAATTTGCAAATTTAGAACAGGGTAGTCTTTGCAGCAAACAAACAAGTCTTCTAGAAAAAAAGATCAGGGTAGTCTTCATAGCAAACAAACAAGTCTTCTAGAAAAAGAACAGGATAGTCTTCGTAGGCAAACAAACAAGTCTTCTAAAAAAATATCAGGGTAGTCTTCGTAGCAAACAAACAAGCCTTCTAGAAAAAAGATCAGGGTAGTCTTTGTGGTAAACAAACAAGCCTTCTAGAAAAAAAAGATCAGGGTAGTCTTCGTAGCAAAGAAACAAGTCTTCTTTACATTCTTTAACCTCTTCTGTGTTAAGACATTTTTTGGAAAATGAACTCAAAAAAGAAATTCATGGTTTATTCATCTTTCTTTTGACAGCCTATATTTATATAATAATGAAAGAAAATATATTTAATTTTCTGTTATTATATTTGTGCATAAAATATACTTGATAAATAAATGTTACATTTATATGTGATTATTATTATTTCAATTAAACTACAGTAAAAAATACAAATGTTTTTCTCCAGTGTTTATGATACACTAGTTTATAAACCCATCATAGACAGGAAAAACTACATTACATTGTATATAAGCACAAAAAAAAATACAATTCTGAAATATCTCTGTATACACAGCATTTCTTGTGCATAATTTTATAATTATTAAACAGTTTTTTCTGTGTCATCATCTGCTTGATGTACACTTTAACTGATTTTGATTTCTATTCTGTGTTAGAGCTCGATAAAGTTGCCCATGAGTGCAAACACACTATTCCATAACATCACAATTATAGAAAATGTTGGTATTATTTGAAATTGCCTCTTTTTTAAAAATAAATGGCACCAAATCAATCCTCGGTAAAAATTATCAAACTCATTTATTTGTGCCTGTTACAATCTCAGCATCTAGGAAAGTTTCGTGTAACTTTTTGTCAATACTATTCATTCTGCTTCAGTTTCTCTAATTATTTTCTTCCTCTTGCTAAGTGACATTTTCTTTCTTGCACTGTTCCATCCATATTAGGTATTTCTATTTATACGTAATAAGTTATGTTGAAGAGAATAATATTATTAATAAATTGCAAAACAAACCATTTTAATCAGTGCTGACAGTAAAGTCCATATGGGTTAAATGTTTTTTTCTGTAAAACATTTATTCAGTTTCACTGTACAGACATTTAATGAAATTTTCTGCAAGGAAAATGCAGATTTCGAACATAATACATCGACAAAAAGAAAATTAGCCTGCAAATTAATTGGAAATATCACGTAGTATGCAGTTACAGTTGTAACTTACTGTTTAATTTGAATACATGTGGTACCATTTATGAAAGAAATTTTGAACTATTTTTGTGTTATTCAGAATTTTAGTTTAGAATTTATTCAATGGAAATCAGAAGCTGAGTAAAATTGCATGTTTTAATTGAAATGTCAACCAATATCTAAAATTCTTGATTTAATCTATAATAGTACTCACATTTTTCTGGATTTTCAAAGAGCTTGCTGTAAATATAATCAGTTATGGGGGGGGGGGGGGGGGGGTA